ATTTCACCTAACATCAACATATCTGACCTTTTCTGTTTGTCTCAGACATATACTAGGTCAAGTATTTTTTTGTAAACACAATTGAATTGAATGTTTTCCTCTAGAGGAAGGGAATGTAGACATCATCGCTAATTTAAGACATAGGTACAGAATCTAAGGAAATGTGTGTTTTAGGCTCAGTTCAACTAACTGGTATTTATGACTTTCACCAATGTCCTCAACATCTAATATTCAGTTTCTAAGCAGTAAAAGGGAACAATTCAATGGCGGGCAAGGAAAAATGAGAGAATAAAAATGGTTATGATAACTATGTAAGATCTCGACATCCCTATATACCAGGTTGAAACAATGATAGGCAACTGGATTTTAACAAGTTTTAATTTTCCACACAAAGGAAGAAAAGAGGACAAGTATAGGGGTCAGGCCTGTAATCCCATTAGGGGCAACTGCCATTTAGGAAGCAAAGATTCAGAGGATTGCAATGAGCCAACTTAAGCAAATAGCAAACCCCTGCCTCAGGCATGGGGTTGTGTGCTTGTAGTTTTAGCTTTGGTGCAGGGCTAAGTAGGAAGATTAGGATAGCTTGAGTGAGCATAAATATAAAATTCTATTTTTTTAAATAAATAACTAAAACAAAGATGGAGGTGTGTCTTAAGTGTTATAGCACCTTGCACTTGTAAGTACAAGGCCTGAGTTTCAATCCAAGTACCACCAAAAATTAAAATTAAAACTATCGGCTGTAGTCAATTTAGAACAAATATGATATCCTTACAAACATACCTTTAGTAACGCATTACTTTCCAAACATTATATGTTAATTTAGTAGTATTTGAGTCTTTCAGTGTTGCATTCTCTGGTTGTATTTTACTTGAGTTTAGATGTCCTTATGATCCATGATGACTCAATTATGTCCACATAATTCAGTAACTATTACTCTCTATACTATCCCTTCTTTACTGTGTATTATTTATGAATTATTTAATGTCATCAATGGGTTATACAAGAGGCTTTCATATTGACATGTTGATTTATGCAAACATTGTATCTTTTTTTATTTTCCTTTCTTGATAAAGAGACCAAAATCAGCATAACAGCTTTTCTGGTTTGAATGAAAAATAGAAAAGCTGTCATTCTTCTTACCGTACCACTAAATCACATGATGAAGGCTTTCCCTTCAGTAATACTGAACAACTTTCAATGCTGCAGTGGTGGGAAGAGAATTCCAGGACTGTTCTTCAGGAAGCCATGGTGCATGGCAATGGCCATGAGACATCTCCTAGAAACCCTAGCTCTTCCACCTATGAGCCACGTGGCATCCACAGCTCTGTACTCCTGCTCCTCCCTTACCTCACTAGAAAAAGAAAAATAATATACATCTTAGCTTTCCGTTTTTCTCTTCTATAATGATCAAGGACCTGCAACTTTGGATCAGTACTCAATATATATTTGGCTTTTCAAAATGCAGGACTGATGCTAGGTATTTTACATTTGGTTAGAAATAACAATGGACAGGTCTACCAACTTGTTGAAGAGTCTCAGTAGTGATAACACATCTGGAAGTTTTATATAGAGCAAAAAACAAGTTTAAATACACATTTCCTGGAAAATACAGAATACCCTAATTTCCAAAACTTCCCAACATGTCACTAATCTGAGAATCAAGAAATATGCTCTTTATTAGACTTATGTAATTGTAACCCTTCTGTACATCTACCTTAGAATAGCAACAAAGTTTTTTTTTAAATGAATACCATATTTGAATAATGTTCAAGTTGTTGACTTTAATACTTCTCAACCATAGCTGAACATTGAAAGCAGGTAGGTTTGTATTTTAAGTAGCAGTATTTGATCACTAACAAGTGCAACCAAATCACAATTGCCTCTTTGCCCTCTGGAAAGAGGGACATGTGTACAGGTCATTCTACTTTTATCTCTATCATGACAAAGTTTAATCAGAAGAGATTAAAGTAAACTTGTACTTAATCATGACTAAAGCATTAAAGAGGCACACCTACAGTCTCAGGGAGCATTATAAAAGGTCTTCCCTGCAAGCTAACACTACTCTCAGAAGAAAAGGCCTCAATGAGTCCAGTAGTTATCCTGGTGCTGGGTATCTCCTGTCTGTTTCTCTTTTCAATATGGAGACAGAACTCTGGGAGAAGGAAGCTCCCTCCAGGCCCCACTCCTTTCCCAATTATAGGAAATACACTGCAGGTTGATATTAAAGACATCACTAAATCTTTAACCAAGGTAAGTACTCTTCATGTTTGCCTAATGGTCTCTGACAGGTATTAATGAAGCCATATTTCCAATGTACTGCTGAAGGTAGAATAGCCTGATTTATTATCATAAAACAAAATCCTTGTAAAAAGTGTAACATGCTTGTGACAATTCCAGTTTGTATTTTAGTCATGGAATGAAGTAATGTATTATGTGAGTGGGTTACTCTCTATTTTAGTCTCAGTCACAAAATTGCAAATGTTATGGATGGTTCTCCCCATCTTACTTAGACAGTCAAATTTATGATGATTGTTTTTTTCCTGAAGCTCCATGGTAAGGAAATTCTGTGATTAAATGTTTAATTCAAAAAGTCATATAGCATATTAGACATTGATTTTTTTAAAAAAAATCATGAAAGCTAACTTCTCTGAGAAGCTGTGAGTGATTGAAAGGAGCTATCTGTGAGGATGAGAGAACATAAAGACATGAGACCATTTAGGGGGATACTGATGGTATCAGAGTCCACCTGGATTTTTGCTTAAACCTTTGTCTGGAGCAAAAAATGCTGCTGGGTGAGAAATTGTTTGGGAGGATGTTTCATGTACTAGAGCAGCCTCTGCGGGGCCCACCCTCTGCTTCTAATACCGATAGATCCCAAACTGCACTTGCCTATAGAAACACCTGTGCTGACTTAAAACTGCAGTTTCTCTTGTTTGTCAAAGAAAGTAATATTCTCACCAGTTAGAGCTTCAGAGGTTATCTGAAAGCAGTAATCTGATGCTGGTTAGGAGTACAAATGAGAATTAAACATATACCGAGCATGGAATGTCCAATAAGCCTTATCAATGGTGCTCTAGAAATGAACTTAGAATCCATAGACCTTTGTTTTGTTCTTTGTGAATCATGACAAGCCTTCTGTGTGTGTTGATGTGAGGATGAATGATAATGTTGTATCACCTGCCCGTCCATTGCATGGCACATTATAGGCCATCACCAAGTGACAGCTATAGTAAACCTCCTTTATAACATATATTCTTTGCAAATATTTTAAGTTGTGTTTGCCAAAATAAAGAAGCATAAAAAATATAATGATGATATCACTTTTGCTCAGGGTCACTCTGAGGAACAAATAATGGCTTCTTTCACTAGTATTTTTTTTTCTTTTCATTTTCCAGTTCTCAAAAGTCTATGGCCCTGTGTTCACTCTGTATTTCGGCATGAAGCCCACCGTGGTGTTGCATGGATATGAAGCAGTGAAGGAAGCTCTGATTGACCTTGGGGAGGAGTTCTCTGGAAGAGGCAGGTTCCCATTTGCTGAAAAAGTTAATAGAGGCCTTGGTAAGTGTACATATCCATGTGTATGTATATTTGTGTGTGGGCAGAGGATGTGTTGATAAGGAGGATGGAAAAAGAGCCAAACCTTGGCCATCCCTGTACCTGCCATCTGTCAGCTTCCTTTTCCTTGCTTGACTTCTCTATTCATGTTTCTGCTTCCCCTTAATTTAGGAATTATTTTCAGCAACGGACACAGATGGAGAGAGATGAGGCGCTTCTCACTCATAACCTTGCGGAATTTTGGGATGGGGAAGAGGAGCATTGAAGAGCGTGTTCAAGAGGAAGCCCGCTGCCTCGTGGAGGAGTTGAGGAAAAGCAAGGGTGGGAGCTGCTTTATATCACTATTTTAGAGAGGAATATAAAAGGCTCCAATAAGTCCCTTCTGTTTTAGAAATGCGTTATTTTGTCTTCCAATCAGAAACCATGAATGTAATTTTTTTGTTTTATGCAATAATTGGGGTTCAAACTCTGGGCTTTAAACTCTTGTCCACATCATGGCTGGTGCTCTACCATTTCAGCTACACCTACAGTTCAAGCTTCTAGCTGGTGAGAGATTTGCAGCTTTCTGTTTGCCTGGGCTTGTTCCCGACCACAATCCCCAGATTTCAGCCTCCTGAGTATCTGGGTTCTGGTCAAGAACATCACATCATCATGCAAAGGTTGCCAAAAGGGCACTCTGGCGTGGTTGAAGGGATGAGTGTTTACTGAGAGAGGGAGAGAGCAAACTTTACCCTCACAAAATGGAATTGGGCAGAGCAAGAGAGATTATGAGGGAAGGAGAAAAATTATATAGGGAAGGGCGGGGAGGGGTGTGTCCACAGTGGAAGCAGAGATAATCTCAGAGGGACCTTGAGCTGCACCCAGGCATGCCAGTTGCTTGGATTTCAGGTGCTGGCCAGGGACTTTAGGATTCAAGAGGAGAGAACCAAAGGAATGAGCCTCTAGCCTCCGGCTTTCTGTGCGGACCTAACACACCAGTGTCTGGCAAAATAGATATTTTCTGTTTCTTTTCTGAAGAGTTAAGGAACAATGCTTCCCTCTTACCATAATTGAGGTTATGTAATATAGCCATTGCATGATCGTGCTCGCTAATTGAACAGTGTGGTAATGACCCTGTCTACCCACAAAGATGCAATTATATGGTATGCTTATTATCATTGACATTTCAGTGATTTGTCAGTATCCATGCCTACAATTTTGGATAGTAGTGGTATGGTGTAAGATTTTATTTGCTTTATTGTCTCAATAAAATTCATTTCAAAAATTATTTCTCTGAAAATACAGTACAATTTCTATAGGTCAACATTACTTATTTCTTCTTACCCAGTACTTTAGAATTTTATTTATGTATTTTGAATAAATATGTTCTCTATCTGTAAAATACACACAATTAGCTATATTTCAACTATTATGATCAGTTCTTTATCCAGTCTTCTTTTAGTGTATTCTAGCTCATTTTTCAATTTATCTCCATGTGTATTGGATTTTATGTTAAAAATCTTCTGTTAATTACACGCTTACCTAAATCTACTAACCTATAGTTACAATGGATAGAATTGTCCACTCGGATTCCACATAACCTGGCTTTTTAAATTCATTGTTCCAAATAAATTGAACGACAAAATCAGATTTAACCTGTGAATGTCACACCTGCAGTCATAGCAAATCTCAACGAATTCCCAAATAACTGCCCTCTTCATAGTTATAATAAAAGTTTTTCTGAGAGCTTAGACTCATTTCAATCATTAACTAGCCTACATATATGCAACCAGCTCAATGACACTTGTTTAATCCAAAAAACCCATGTCAATTCACAATATCTTTAATTCATGACTATTTACTTTCAGTTTAAACTCAGTAGCATTTTACATGTTGATGATTTGCTCATAGCCATTTCATTGTACAGAGTGCCAAAAATAAAATTAATCTGTCAAATAATAGAACCTGAGAGGCAGACAAATTTAAATATATATGTATATAATGTTTATTGCAGAATTTCAAAAATTCCGCCCTGTCCATAAATTAAATTTTGTGTTTGATTAGACTTAGTGTCTACTTATTCCTTAGGGAGAGGAAATTTACTTATAAATTTTGAAATGAAAAAAAATCTCCCATTTATTAATGCTATGTTTTTGTTTGCCTTACCTGACATTTACATTTAATAACAGGCTTAAACTTAGTTATTACTCTTTTTCCTCATGCAACATGAAAGCATTCTGCTTTTTATCTTGGTTCATTCTAGTACTTGAACTCTGGTAAAATCTCTCTTTAGTGTCTCTCCATTGGTGATTCAAAAAAGCTATAGACACCTGATATTCCATCACAGTCTTTCTCAGTTTTGTGTAGTCTATAGGTTATGGAAACAGATATATTGCTACTCTGAATGGTTGACTATTAGGTATGTAAAAGTCTTCTTTTTCCAAAATAGCATATATCTGATTGAAAGACTATAGGTAAAGGCAATTTGTATGAAGTGACATTATTTTGCTAGTTGGTTTGTACTGGCCAGTTCAGGTTTCAGGTTAAAGATATGCAGGTTTAATTCAAATGGGAAATTTGGCTGTTAGAGGAATTTACAAGTAAAACAGTAATAAAAATTGGTAAAGATGACAAGGCTGAGTACAGTATTTCATATGTATATTTCATTTGTTTCTGACTCTTCAGGCTCACCCTGTGACCCTACCTTCATCCTGGGCTGTGCTCCTTGCAATGTCATCTGCTCCATTGTTTTCCAGAATCGGTTTGATTATAAAGACCAGAACTTCCTGAACTTGATGAAGAAATTGAATGAGAATGTTGAGATGCTGAGCTCACCATGGATACAGGTGAAGCCAAGATCTTTTCTTCCTAAGAAAACACTTGTCTTTTTTTGTTGTTGTTCAACAGACCCAAATTGAATAAATAGTAAGGCGAATACTTGGACCCAACAGTGCTACCTAAAGAATGGTAGAGTGCCATTCAGGAAATTACTGCCTATGACCACACATTCTAGCATTTTCCCTATTAGTTTCCAGTTTTATATTAAAATCTTTAATCAACTTTCAATTGATATAACTTCAGGGAAATAGATAAGGGTCTGGGTTTTTTTCTGCAGTTCCAAAATGTAGCATGTTGAAACTCGTTTAGGAAACAGGGAAGGAAATGATGAGGGAGAGTAACGGATGAGTCTAGATATATTGTCTCATCTAGATGTATTGTGTAGCTGGGCCTTGTTGGCTCATTGATAAACATTAGTTACTCAGGAGAGTGAGACCTGGAAGATCAGGGATTTGAGCCAGCCAGGGCAAAGAAGTGTGACAGAATCCATCTCCCAAAGAGTCAGCAAAAACCAGTCATGACCAAGAAAGTGAAGCAAGTGTCTGGGGTTCTGAGTTCAAACCCTGGTACTGGCACCAAAAGGAAAAATGCATTTTATTTATATATGGACATGTCAAAATGAGAACCTTTGACAGCTAACTGATGTTGAAATGGAAGAAAAACAATATAAAGTAATCAGCTGAGAAAGATGTCTAAGCCTAGAGGATTGACTCAAGTTAATGTGCTTAAGCAATTAATTTGATATTTCCCAATAAATCCCAAAGGGATTTTCCTATAAATTGCTTTGTTCAGGTCCTGATTGATGCCTAGTGGATCAGTGGATATCCAGGTGCTTACTGAAAGCTTACATTTCCCACAGGTTTGTTTTCCAATCAGA